ATTTCGAAAATTAAAATTAAATTAATGTATAGAAAGAATCAAGTCGTATTTGGTAAGAAAAGAATTTTTTTTTTGTTCGTTGTTGTTGTTGCCGTCGTCGTCATCATCATCATCATCATCATCATCATCATCATCATCATCATCATCATCATCATCATCTGGCGTGTTTACGTATGTAACTCATCCGATTTTGTTAAATAAAAAAGCTTAAATCAGGCATAAAATAAATTTTTTTTTTATTCTCTCTCTCCTTTTCGTCGTCGTCGTCATATCTTGTGTGTTTGCCACTAGTTTTTGTTGGATTAATATTTTTTTTTTTTGTCTCTTCTTTTATATGTGCCAGCCAAACATTTGTTAAATTTATATTATTATTATTATTATTATTATTTGACCTTCATCTTTTTGTTTTTTGTTTTTTTTTGGGTAGGTTTATAATCTAACACAAAACTTAAGATTATTATTAATGATTGGATTTTTTAAATTTCATGTGTGTTTTTTTTTTTTTTTTTTTTATAGTTTCTAGTCCTAAATATTATTTTTCCGAAACGGGGCGGGGGGGAGGGAAAAACAAATCTGATAATACGTACGTTGTGTTATTGTCTTGTATAAACGATGATGATAAGAATAAATGAAAAATTACAAAAAAAAAAAAAAAAAAAATTTACTATTAAATCTGGATTTTTCCGTTTTGTTTGTTGTTGTTGACATAACAAAAAAATTAATGGAAAACAAACGTCGACTCCATTATTATTATTATTATTATTATTATTATTATTATTATTATTATTATTATTATTTTTAAAACCGTCAATAATATTTTTTTTTTTTTAAATTTGAAACGGAAGATTTGGTTTTTTTATTTTTAAATACAAATTTTTTTTTTTTTAAAGAATTAATATTGGGAAAAAAAGGAATTTAAGGAGGGGAAACGACGTTACATGTTGTTAATACGACTTACAGTAATTTTTTTATTTTTAAGGATAATCTCTTTAAAAAAAAAAAAAGTTGGTGGTAAAACGACGGTTATCGAATTGAGTCAGTGTTTTATTTTATGGATTAGTTAAATTACGGTTTGCCGGTTGGTGTGTGTTAATGTGGGTGCCCTTCCCTTTTTATTAATGAGAAAAAAAAAAAAAAAGAAAAAATGTATTTTAATTATTGACTCCCACGCCCAAATCAGCAAAGGGTGATTTTTTTTATTTAAAAACAGAAAAAGGTGTTATTCGATATACTTTTCTTTACACCAAACTATAAAAAATTTTTTTATTAGTTTAGTTTTTTACCGTGAAAAACTAAAAACCTGATTTATTTTAATTTGATTACAAATTTTTTTTTTTTTTTTTTTTTACAAGAGGTTGTTGACCTTTCGTATCATGTAAAGACCTATATTATAATTTAATTACATTCTTTTCTTTTGCTTTTTAAAAATATCTAATATTAATTTTTAATAGTTTAATGTCGTCATGATATAGTTTAGTAAATTGCGTGAATTTCACAAAAAAAAAAAAAAAATTGTCTTTGTGTATTTTTAAAAGAAAAGTTTATTAAAAATTAATAATCACGTGCGACAATAATTTATGAGAAAAAAAATAATAATAATAGTTGTAAACGTTTTTTCGTTTTTCTTTTAAATCAACTCATCATGCAAATTTTTTAAAATCCGATTCGTCGGATGTCATTTTAAAATAAAAATTTAAAAGTCAGGTTTAAAACAATTAAAAAAAAATACAGGCATGACCATAAGAGAACAAATATATAGACCCAGGTGATGACCTAAAGTTAAAAAATTTTCAACCTTTTTTTTTTTTGTTGTTGTCCGAAAACTATCACGTGCCAATTTTTTTTTTTTTTTTTTTTTTTTGCTTTCCATTTGAAGAAGCATGTTAAAAAAAAATTTTAAACTTATTTTAGAGTCACCAAAATTGGATGATTATCGATTTTGACTGTTGATTGATGATTTGGGGTCATGATAGGGCAGTGAACCCCCTTAAGGTATCCGACATTCGGTTCCATAAAAAAAAAAGAAAACGGATAAGGAAATGCTTAAAATAATTGAATCATGCACATCGACAAAATGATAATTGGTTTTTCCAGGTCTAACTCATACGTACGAAAATAATAATAATAATAATGGTTACGTCAATCATTTACACGAGGGAAATTAATGAAAAAAAAAAAAAAAAAAATTATTTATCTAATAATAATAATATTTAATATTTATTTCAGGAATGTCGAAATCTTCTTCTTTAAGAGATGAAGACGATGAAACTGATTATTCAAACGATGACAATTATCAAAACGACGAAGATGATTCAAATGATGAGGAATACACGGGGCCGCCCCCCGAGATAACGACCAAAGGCATGAATTTGACTGTCATGGAAGATGGTGACGTTTTTCTACCATGCGATATCAATAACAGAGGTTTGTTAATTTTCTCTCTCTCTCTCTATCTCTCTCTCTATCTAGTTAAACGATAATTTTCTGTTTAAACGTCGTGATTTTTAAATTTCTTTTCTTTTTTTTCTTGCGAGAATGAAAATATGGGATGGGGGGGAAGGGGAGAACCAAACACTTATTCTCAATATTCAAAAAAAATTTAAATAAAAATGAATGAATGAATGAATGAATGAATGAATGAGAAAACAAACTTTTATATTGATGATGGAAAACATTAAAAATTATTATTAAATTAAATAGAGCAATCGATTTTGTACTATTATTATTATTATTATTATTATTATTATTATTTTGATGGGCGTGAATATGAATTTAAACTTTTTTTTTTTTTAACTATTGAATTTTCAAATTTTTTTTTTTAAATAAATGTCAAAATTTTAAATAGGTCATCTCATTGTATATTTTTAGATTTTTTTTTTTTTTGTACTCTGAATATCATCGACATTTGTAAAAAAAAATTTTTTTTTTTTTTTTTTTGTTTTGAAGAAAAGTTCAGGATTTTGCCAAATTATTTATAACGAGTCTTTTGCTAAAAAAAAAAAAAAAAAGGCCGAATAAATTTTTTTAAACGAAATATTTTTTTTAAAAAAAATATTTATAAAAAATTAAAATTTTTTTGCCCTAACAGAATTCATATCTCGCATGTACCTGAAATTAAAAACTACCTTTCATTCATAAAAAAAAAAAAAGAAAACAAGGGTTTCACTTATTTGCTTCCCACATAATTTTTTTATCACCTTATTTTCTTCGGCGGAAGCTCGGTTAAGGTGTTACAAAGTAGATAAGAAGAAGAAGAAGAGAAAAAAAAGTTTTGTTTGTTCATATACACAATGGCGTGATCTATTTTTATTAAATTTATTTTTATTTTTATTTTAAAAACATGTGCTTCCATTTTTTGTTGTTGTAAGATATGGTCGTATATTATTACGTATAATTAAAAATTTATATTAAAATTTATCAGGGAAATTTGTCGTCATGTGGAAAAATTCATCTTTAACCCTTTGGGTCGACGGTAGGAGAATGAATGCAAATTCAAGAGTTGAAGAATTTAAAAATAACACTTTGGTAATACGAAGAGTAAATATGCACGACTCCGGGCAATACACGTGTCAGGTAGTAGCAGACAAAATAATACAAGTCACTCACACTCTCAACGTAGTCAGTAAGTATAATAATATAATATTAATAAGATGGTAAAAAAAAAAAAAAAAAAAGTTAGATTCGATTTGATTAAAAATTTTTTTTAAAATTCTCAGGGAAATTATCAATAACGCGAATTTTACCGGAAGTAAGACCCGGTCAAAGTAAAATATTACGAAAGGGAGAATCGTTGACTTTGGCTTGCGAAGCAACCGGGTATCCGGTTCCTAAAGTTTTCTGGGTTCGAAGAGGTCGTAAACACTTTCCCAACGGACACGAAAGAATGGAAGGAACGAGTATAACTTTCGAAGAGGTCAACAGGAAATATAGTGGAATTTACGAATGCGAAGCATCAAATGATTTCGGAACGGTTAGAAAAGCCGTTGAAATACACGTGCACTGTACGTAGTATCTAACCCCCCCCCTCCCCATTTAATAACCATTTATTATAAATATATGATTAATAATTATTTTTTTTAGATCCTCCCGAAATCGAAATAGAAGAGGAAACAGTGACTACAGCCGTAGGATTGCAGCCAGAAATAACTTGCACCGTACATGCCGAACCAAAAGCAAATGTAAGTTTTTGTTTCTATTGCCAAAATTTGGTAGGTTATTATTATTATTATTATTATTATTATTATTATTATTATTATTATTTTGTATAAATTCTTCCTCCTTCCTCGTAATAAAAAAAAAAAAAAATTTTTTTTTTTTTATTTCCGAAGAGTGAAAACAAAAAAAAAAAAATTATTATTACGAGGGAGTGAATAAAAACCGACTCTTAAACTCTTTAATGGAGTATAAAGTTTTTTTAAACATTTATTTTTAGACATTTTCAAGCCATTACTCACGTTCTAAATTTATTAAACTAGCGACGTGTAGTTAGTTAGTAGTACTAGGAGTAGTATTAGTAGTAATAATAATAATAATAACGATTCTTTTTTATAATAATTAAAAATCGATATTTGATAATTTGTAAAAAAAACTAACATGAAAAGAAATTTTTTTTTTCGCACGTTATTATTCAAAAAAAATGAAATTACGTCATAGATTACGCAATGATAATAATAATAAATTTTTATTAAAGGTAACGTGGTATAAAAATGGCGACATTGTAACGAAAAAAAGTCAAATATCAACGACCGTCGTTAATAATAAATACACATTACAAATAACTAAAATGAACGAAGATGATTTTGGAAGTTATACTTGTCATGCAAAGAACGAACTAGGTTCGAAACAAAAAGCCATCGTATTATCAGGTTCGTTAAAATAAATTATCGTAATAATAATAATAATAATAATAATAATAATAATAATAATAATAATAATAATAATAATCAATTATCACACGTGTTTTCTTTCTCTCATCGTCGTAATCATAGATGAATTAATCATTGTTTCATCATCGCAGGTCATTTTTTTTTTTTTTTTTCGGGTTTTCAATTTCATTAAATTTTGAATTTTTCAGGGTAAGGAGGTTTTCGTTAATTTTGGTACCTTCCCCCCCCTCCCCCCCTCGAACGTTTGCTCATTTTATTCCTTTTTCCAAAGGGAAAATTTTGGTTTTTTTTTTTTTTTTTTTTTTTTTTTAGGCGCACCAACAAAACCGAAATTCAAAGTCGGTTTTACAAAAGATGACAAAACTCCAGAAATATTATGGACGGTCGAATCTTATTTACCAATCATAGAATATGAATTTCAATATAAAAAATTACAGGTGAGAAAGTTTTTTTTTTTTTTTTTTTTTTTTTTTTTACCACGAAAAACCGCGGGAAATTTGGAAAAATTCAAAAAAAAGAAATCAATTTATTTTCTTTAAACGTGTAACGAGGGTGAAGTCATTTGTCGGTTTTAAAAAAATGACGCGCCACGACTTGTATGACGTCATTCTAATCTCACGACTTTTCCGTTAGTCATTCTTTTGTCTCTAACAAACGTCGTCTATTCTTAGACGGTCAATAAAATTAATTACATTTACGCACACACGCACACGCACAAACATTCTTCTTTCCGGATGTCCGTTTTTTTTCTTGCTATCATTCGTCCTTTATTGTTAATACTATTATTATTATTATTATTAACAGGATGATAAATGGACGAAAATAACTCCTATGCAAACGGTCGCAATCGAAGGAAACATGTACACCGGTAAAGAAATATTAACAGGTTTGCCGCCAAACGATTATCAGGTTCGAGTACGTGCTAAAAATTCACACGGATGGTCATTTTATTCCGAAGAAAAAATATTCAACGGTGGTAAGTTATCCATTTATCTCGTCCATTTTCGACATGAAAGACTTAAAAATATTAATTAATTAATTAATTTAGATATGGCGGCGGAATCGACTAACGGTGGCGTTAAATTAGGAATTAAAGGCATTCTTGTACAAATAATTGTTTTTTCTTATGTATTCATCATGTAGGATAAAAGGTAAGTAATCTTACTACTATTACTACTACTACCACCATCTTTTTTTTTTTTTAATCAGAAGAAGATAATAATAATAATGATGATGATGATCATTTTTTTAGGCAAGGAAAAAAAAATTTAAAATAAAAAAAAAAAAAATTAGGAAACCAATTGTATGTATATATATATAAAACAATCAATCAATCAATCAATCAATCAATCATGTTGGGCTGATAAAAAAAACATGCGTGAAATCATCATTATCAGTTAGTCAGTTAGTTTTTTCGAAAAGGAAAACGAAACAAAAAAAAAACCCCCCAAAAAAAAAGGAGTTGTAAATGTCTATTATACTATGCTGTTGTTACTGCTGCTGATGCTGCTGCCACTGCTACTGCTGTCGTTCCCGTTGCCGATGCATAGTCACGGATTGTTTTCCTTCCTTTTTTTCTTTTTTTTTTGGTTTTATATAAATACGTAAAAGGAAAGTATAGGTATGCGTGGGTGAGGAAAGGAGGAAGGAGAAAGGAGAGGAAAGGAAAGGAAGGAATAAAAAAGGATGAAAAGGGATGAACAACATTTTGCTTCTTTTTTTTTTTTTTTCTTCCGCCATCTTGGATCTTCACTCCATCTTTATTTATAATATTATTATTATTTGTACTTAGGAAGGAGAATTAACATTAACCATTTTATTTTTCTTCTCTTTTGCACTCGCGTGTTTGTATTGTAAAATTTAATTTTCTTTCTCTCTCTTTTTAATTATTAATTAATTTAATACAAAAAAGGTAGAGAGAGAAAGGAGGAAGCCGTCGGGAAGGGAGGGGACAGGGAGTGGGAGTAAAAGTGGGAGTGGGAATGGGAGGGAAAAAGAAATTTGCGGTGAATTTTATTTATTTATTTTTTTTTTATTTATTAATAAAGTTTGAAACGGAAAAATAATAATAATAATAATAATGATTAATTAATAGCCACGGATTGATTGAAATGAAAATTGAATTTTTTTTCTTTTTCACCCAATAATAATAATAATAATAATAATAATGATTTCACATTTGAAATTAATAAAAATTTTATTAATGCTTATTATTATTATTATTATTATTATTATTATCATCATCAACTCACTTTCTGCTATGTACATACATACATATACATTATTTTTTTTATTATTATTATCGAAGACAATCTCGCATTATTAATAATAATAATGATAATAAAAAATAAAAAAAAACAATTTAAGAACGCTTATAATATTACTACACTATCATTTTTTTCTTACTGAAGTATTACCTTTTTTTTTTTTTATTAATTGGGGGGAGGTGGGGTGGGGGGAAGAAGGAAAGATAAAATCATTTATTGTTGTTATTAATATTAATAATAATGTCTGTCATGTATTTTTTTCTTTTAATGTTTTATTTAAAATAAAAGAGAGAGAAAGATAGAACAAAAGTGTGCCATTAATGAAATAAAATAAATTTTTAATCATTATTATTATTATTATAATTTAATAGATAATTTTTCATCTTTTATTTTTTGTGCATATTTTCAATGATAATAATAATAATTATTTGTAATGAAATTTAAAGGTTTTAATTAATGCTTAAAACAAAAAAAAAAAAAAAACGTTACCGTATTATTATTATTTTTATAGTTAGAAATGAAAAGAATAAATAAAATCA